AACACTCAGATTTTACAATGTTTAACTTTAGAGCAGGACAAAACATGTTTACAGCCCTCTACAAAAAAATTTAGCTTTAAACTGTATGCATTGAGCCCTCCTTCATAACTACTCTACTGTGAGTGAATTTTTTTAATCCATTCTCATCCATTTGGATACTAGCAAGGTTGTATCAGCAGAGCAAGCCATAGCCAACCAGCATCTGCAGGAGAGTGATCTCACAAAAAACTCTTCTGTGAGGTACAAGTCACCAAGAAGCCTGAGCTTCAGTTTTGGTGAGTACTCAGTCATCTTGTTAGACTGTCTACCAAAAATACTCACTACACAAATTCTACTCGCACTACATTTAAATTAAACCCATCTGCCACCTTCGAGCAGACCTGCAAGGTGTATTTACTTTCTGCACAGACAACCAGACCAGTTAAATGCTCGGCAAATGATCTTGCTCTCTTAGCTGCTGTTCAGTTGAGCCATTTGTGCCGCTTCTTCAATGTGTATGGAAATCATTTGGCAAAGTTGGAAAAATATTTATAAATCTGATCTTCCCAAATCCTAACTCATAAGCAAAACATCTTAAAACAAACCCTTCTTTCAGACTGTGCTAAACCCAAACACAAGCTATGAAATGGTACGAAGGTATTCGGTTGCATTCAAACCACACATCTAAATATTGTTAATAACATGGCGGCAACCAAGACAATGACTTTGAGGCTTCAAATGCAGGGTGGGTGTAGTCATTGTGGCCACAACCAGCTTTCACATACAATCTATGGCTGTCACACAGATCTTAACATACATGTCAGCTTGATGTTTTTGTAAAGGACTTCACAAACTGAATCATGGAGGAATGTTTTTTCATGTCATAACATGTAGTCACAGGTTAAGGATTAGGAGGATTAGCACTGCAATCAAGTCAGCGCGGCATGTAGATAGCACTGTATGGTCATTCTACCCTCCCTCTGACAGGATGCCCCTGTCATTGAGGAATTTAAATGCACTTCCGAACAACAATAATTTCCATTTAGGTTCTTATCTACACCACGAGATTTGTATATAATGGTAACATGTAATGACTTTACCTGAAATCAGTAAAACTGCAGACAGACCTGACAAACCTGCTCCACCACTAACTTCGTCTGGGCATGTATACTCTATCCTATTCCTTTAAAAACTGTCAACATTATGTGTCCAGATAATAAAACAATGCTGAAAGGATTTAAAACAGGGGTGTCGAACCCACAGTTTGGAGGCTAGAATTGAGCTGCCGAAGGGTTCGTGCAGCCACTTTAATATTTAAAGAAAAATGCACTAATTTCCTGCAAAAGGATGGAAAATTAAAAGTATTTTTACATCTCAGACAAGCTGCTTGAATAATAAAGATTTAAAATACTATAAGTGAAGATTCTGTGACTTTTTACTGTGCACTAATAATTGCCACGACCATGTAATTACAGCCGACTCAATGAATGCATATTAGTGAGAGAGATTGATGACATCTCAGGTAGTTCTACCCAAGGCTTGCTCATTTCCTTTAATAGGGAATATTACCTTCTGTTGCTCCGACTTTGCTGCTAGTCCAATTTTAATTTCAGTAAGGTTTCCAGTAACTATTGAAACAAGACTAGCCTGATTAAAAACAGTTACAGTTCAATCATTCTCTCACTTTTGCCTTTCGGCCTCCAGGTTGCGGAAAACAGAAATCAACCTAACTGAACAGATACGTTTCTTCTTCTTTTCCAAAGTTTGTGAGTAATCATGTTAAATAATCAAGATCTCACTATTGACCAAAATAACTGACGATTGATGTGAAGAACATGTGACCATATTTTATTTAACAGCGATAATCCCAAATTCCCCTCTAAGCTAAAGAAGGATACTTCTTTTTATCCCAATAACCTTTAAAGTGACTGATTTCAGATCAGATGCTGTTTTGAGTTTTAATCACCTGCCTTTCCTGTCTCTTTAGGGGCTACAGCAGGGGTGTCAAACTCAAATACACAGTGGGCCAAAATTCAAATCTGGAACAAAGTCGTGGGCTAACATTAATATTTATTGAAAAAAAAATCTTCCTCCAGATATGAGAATGAATCTTTTCTTATGGATTCAAACAAGTTTTGCTTAAAAAACTGAATATTTTTAGAAAGGTTTTACAGTTTTGTCTTTTGGATAGGGTAGATAACATTAAGGGTAAAGACTTAGGGAGTATTACATCGCATGAGATGTTTCAGGCTATAATGCAGAGAAAAGAAAGCATGTGGATTAGATCATATTTCTGCTTAACTGCTTTCCTTTTTGTTTTTCCAGCAGTTTGGCGCACGCCTCATTGCCAG